TATAAAGTGAATATCCATTCGAAAAAATAAAACTTCTTCATCATCTTTGTCCTTGATTAAAACATCTCAATATCGATCTATGTTGAAAAGATTTTGAATTGATCTTTGAATTATTACTATCAAAAATAGAGAGTAATCCTCGTCATTGATATTCATTATATTTAAATAATCAATCTTAAATAATGATTAAAAAATTGATCAATTTAATTGAATTGGATAACTGACTTGATAATTATTCAATAGAACTAATTCATGGTAAATTATATTTATGAGAATTATATAAAGTTTTATTATAATTGTTAGTTAATATTATAAATATGAGTAGAATAGGATTAAAATTTCAAAAAAAGTCAAATTAAACGTTTATATTGTTTAGATAAATAATCAACGTAGAAAATTAATTGGCTTAGAAAACATTGACGGAAGTTGAACTTGAGATAGAAATGGTATTTTAGATTGATCCTGTTCTTGAGCGGCAGACGAATCATGACGTGCAGCTGTTGCCTCTCCACCAGAATTCGATGAAGCCGCTGCATTGCCTTTCCTTGAAGTTCCGAGAAGAGGAGTAGCTGGATCCACTTCTTTCAGCTGAATAATAAAAAGATCATTGCCCGAATCAAGACATGAGACAACTTGAAATTTTCGAGCAGCAATAAGCAATACTTCATCTTCTGTTGGAAAAAATGAATGTTGTCGAATTTCTTTTCCAGAACTACAATCAATATTAAATAAAGTTCTTGTCCCTGTTTTTCCCAAAAACTGTTCTGATTGAAGGACATGAATTGATCTTGTGCATGATGAAAATGCCGGCCAAGCAAATATTTTTCCTTGGGGATATTGAGCCCTTAAATCCCGTTTTACACCGCGATAAATCGTTTTAGATATTGTCGGTAATTTTTCCAATGATGCAACAAATAATTTGATATAAAGTTCCCATGGNCACACCCCCCACCCACCCACACCCACACCCACACCCACACCCACACCCCACACCCACCCACACCCACAAAAACCTAATGTCAAAAAAACTACTACATAAAATGCATCATTTTTCCAAACATTTTGCTTTAAATAAATTAAAACTTCTCAAAACACCTTCCAAATATACGTATCTCATATCTGAAACATAACCTATTCATTTTTCAGATGATACAACCGAAAACATCTAAATCAATCATTCACAAAACTTCTCCATCATCGCAACACAAAACAATCACCAACACATCGAAAGCCACCAAATCATAAGATTTAGTCAGAAACATCGAAATACCTCGGTATTGTGGTAACTATTACACACCCACTTCTTGGAGTGCATCTGCTTATATATTTTCCTATAAGTAGATTGTAGTGCTATGTATTGATCCAAAAAATTTTCGCAATTTTGCGGATCTCTTATACTAATGCTTGTGCCACTTGATAAGATTTAGTCAGAAACATCGCAATACCTCGGTATTGTGGTAACTATTCCACACCCACACCCACACCCACACCTACCCACACCCACACTCTTAACTGCCCTTCAAGCATTTTGCATGTATGTAACCTACATAGTATGCCTAAGATATTGTTATCTTAATATCATTTTAACATGCATTTTGAGGATGATGATTACACTGCTTCACATATAAGTTGTGCTCTTGTTCTGTGTTTTGCACATTTCTGATTATAAAGAGATACAATGTGGGTAACGCTCATTTGGTCTCTTGTCTGCTTGGTAACGATCAATGATTTATACTCAGTAAGACACAAATCTTTTGTTGATACTCTTACGATAATGCCAACGCCTATTCCAGATAATAAGTTTGAGCAAGTCATTGCTGAACGTTATCTGTTTGCGCCGTTTGCAAATGAATCGACTGCTTGGCCTGTTCTCAAAAATATCCAAAATGCATGGCAGGCTGCTCCACTACCGGGTTATCATTCTCAAGCTGCCGAAGGCGTTTGGTTACTGGCTCAATCTATTGATAAAGTGCAAGAGATGGATTCAGGAACTTTGACACTGCAAATGTATTGGATGTCTCTGTTTGCCAATGGCACTTTGATAGTTTTATCTGAGATTGACGTAAAGAGCAATAGCAGTCTTTTGGTCGTATCAAATAATGAAGACACTGCTTTAGAATACACAGCCGCACTCATCTCACCTGATAGTGTGAAATTAATTCTGTGTAACCGATCAGATGCTAGTTCGTGCAGAGTTATAAAAATCATAGTTTTTCCTTCGGCCCTTCTGAATACCACCAAAATCGCAGGCGGTTTATTTGTGGAGGATTTGGGAGATAGAGGATGGTTGTATTTTGCTGCTGATTCGGGATTGCACGGACTGGACTTATCGACATTTATGATTAATCCATTTCTCAATGAAATCAATATGCCTGTTTCCTCTTTGGCATGGAGTTCCAAGCGGCAGACAATATTTGCTGGTACTGAGACCAAACTTTGGATTCACTCTTACAGTGTTGGTAATGAAGGCTGGCGTTTTGAACATATCAAGGGACTCATTGATGCACCAATTACTTCTCTGATATATAATGATGTGCAAGACAAATTGTGGATTGGTCAAAATACCGGAATAACTCTTCTGTCACCAATTATCATGTCGACAGAACATCTCCATTGGTTCTTTTCTCGATTGGCAGGACAAATCTCTAACCCTGGATCAGATATTGGTCATCTTCCATTTGCAAACATTACCACTCTGAGTATTAGCCAGTCGACGTTACCTGACGGTCGTGTATGGCTGGGTGCTGTACGTGGGGTGATGCGTTTCGATTCGAACAGTAGTGACATCAATGCTTGGCGTGTATTCAATAGTGCCAGATATATGCCGAATCGTGAATCGTTGGTTAATGTATCCTCGTTGGCTGTCCTGAGCCGTCGCAGTGATGCACCTCCTAATCTGGGCAGTGCTGTATTAGCAATCACAAACAAAGGTCTCGCTGTTCTTCGTTTTGAGATGTGGACATTGGCACAGAAAGCAGATCATTTTCAAGTGATGGTCGATCAACCAGGAAGACATGATAAAAACGGGCTCGTCTCTGACTGCACTATGTCATCATGGGGCGATAGTCGTACTTGCATCAAAGAACCAGACGATAATGATGGGCAATGGACTTCTATGTATCTGGCTAGCCAGATCTTTCGGTATGTTGTGACGCAAGACTCAAGAATCAAAGCACAGGCTTGGAAACACTTTGAAGCAATGGAACTTCTCAGTAAAGTTACAGGTAGCGTATTCACTACAGAAACGTTTACTGGTAATTAGGGGTGTCAGGGTTCCCGTTCCTTGGGATTCCGTTCCAAAGGAACTGATACCTACTTGACAATTCATTTCTGTATGCTTTTGAACATGTCGGGATGTTTACAGATATTTTTTCTTTCATTTTGAGACAATTAACTATGGGTTTCCGGGTTCCTAGGAACGGTATCTGAAACTGACACCCATACTGGTAATTTTGGTTAATTTATGCTTTGTTTACATTTTCGGCAGGTATTCCTGGTTATCCTGCTCGTTCATTCGCAAAACGTAGCGACTTTCTCTCTAAGATTCCATGGTATCCTTCTCCCGTTTATCCAGATCTTCAGTTTCAGGGTGATACATCGTCTGATGAAATTTGTGGCCATGAGTTCGTATATCCTCTCGTGCATGACTTACTGGCTAGCAACGATGACGAACGAAAAAGAGCCTACGTACTCATTTTCAATATCACAAATCATATCCTGACTCATGATTGGTATTTATTTGGTGAGAATCACAATCGCACTACATGGGATTATTGGAATCCTGTCCAAATAAACAATGATAGTCGCTACCAAGAAGATCGAGGTATAAACAGTCTTCAGATACTGGCTTACCTACTTCAAACATATGGTTACAGTGGTGATGAGCGTTTTCTCGATGGTGCCAATCTTCTTATTGGATCCTATCAATATAATGTCAATCTTATTAATCAGAAGATGATTGCTGTTTGTGCTAGTGATTTTGAATATGCTCTACCGGTTTTTGATTATGATCAAATGGCCTATTTGTCTTATTTTAACCTAGCCCATGCATTCCACACCATTGCTTCTTCAGTTAGTTTATCTACGGTTCAAAAGGCACACGCGCAGTCACTAATTGACAATTTATGGGAATACATGGACATAGGATTAGATCTTTCATTCAGTTACAAAAAAATGGAAAAAACGCCATTCTTTAATTTCATCTATTGCTATGCCAGTGGTCAAGTCAATCAAACTCAAAATACATCTAACAAACGTCATGGACTGACTATGAGAGCTTTTCGGCATGATTGCAATTCTTTATCAAATGATGGTGTATGGCATATGCAGCGTTGGCCATTGGAATTGATTCATTGGGCACAATTCAACAGTGATCGCTTGGACGTACAAATCAACGTACCTGCTCAATGCTATCCGCCGATCAAGTCATTGCAAATGTTACCTCCAGACGAACGATCTACTAAAAACGTGGACCAAGGAGTCTACGACTTGGATGATGGAGATGGACTTATTGAAACTGATCCAACTAACTTCCTGTTGGGTTATTGGGGAATGCGTTATTTCAATTTGTTACAATAGGTGTGGAGGTCGATGCTGATACGACAATTAATTTAGTACTTTTCTTTTGTCTGAAATCAGAATATATATTTTGTCAAACAATTTATCGTGATTTGTTCGATGAGTAAACAGATTATTTTTACGATTCACTGTAATTCAATTCTGTTCAACTCTGACATAGACATTAGTCAGACCTCTTCGAGTTCTTTTTGAATTTCATGCTAACAACTTTTCAAACTATACCTAGGAGTCATTGCACGAAAACCGCGACTAATTCTAATATAAGTTGCTCAATGATTTTCTCCGATTTTGATTTTGATTAAAGCAATAGATAGTACTACTAAAGTTAGGTAAGGTGCACCAAGTGCAAAAAACGAGCAAAAAAAAAAGTTTTTTTGTTTTACACANGCTTTTTCTATTTCTATTCTTTTGATATACGTATTTGTTTCCCTGTGTTCGATCCTACTTTGGATGTAAGATATCGACAATAATTACAATTGTAGTAGTGTATAGGCGATTAATATAGCCCTATCAAATTTTTTCTTGTGTTAAAATCGTGCAAAGCATAGCATTTGTGTATTTATTCCCAATGTTTGTTTTACGCATTCCTCGACATACGTATCAAAGCTTGCCATTTTCTGTTGCTATTATTTCGAGAAAGAAATATCACAAGTCATTCATGCAAAACATGAAGATAAAATTTCAAAGCTGAATAGATATCATTCGTTTTCTAATCTTTAATGGGAGGTTTCATTTTTTATGTTACATCAGAATGCAATAAATTCTGAATTGACATCAGTTGATTTAAGTATTAACTATTGATTTTTCTACGACGATCAAGTACTTTCTAGTAAAAATCCGATTTATTTATATTTTAAACATTTGTTCACGTTACTATAAGCAATTATTCTTAGATTTCCTCATCTTATGAAATAATTAGTCTTTGTCTTGTGAGTTTTTATCTAGTAAATAAATTCAGAACTGAAATTTATTATCCTATTGTTCTTCTTGTCATTTCATATTATTTGGCTTACGAGCATTTGATAGAGATATACAAGTCATATATAGTTCGAAAAGTAGATTACACGTACTAATTTAATTGATTCCTCTAGTTGTTGTCAAAGAAATATTGTTGTGGTAAGTGTATCGTTTGAAATTAAAAAAATAAACTTGTTTTCCGTTTCAGTGTACAAAAACAAAGAAGTAGTGTATTTGCTCAGTACTTTGGAGGATCATATTTTCTATTATGGATTTCCTGAAGAGCGATTGTTGGTGATGGTGGAGGTGGTGACACTATGAATAGTCCAAGAAAGTCTACCCACGCCAAACCTAATATCGATCAAGACACTCTTCAGTGATTCTTCGAAATATTGAGTTATGATTAATGTGAATTAAATTGAATAAATCAGATCTTGTCCTTCGTCATACAAATAAAAGCCTTGTTTTCGTATTAGTCATTTCAATGATTATTATCACATGAAAACAATAGGCTATCTTCCAAAAATGACTGATTATATAGAGTTATCATCAAATCGTCTAAAAGAAATTCTTTTTAAAAGTAATACATCTTTTGAATGATCTTCGTTCAGAACAGAATCAATTACACAATGACTACATAGAACGATAATGCCTGATAATCTCATAAACAAGAAACACCGTTATAACCTATTATTTCACCAATCAACGATCCAACAGCTGCTTTATCAAATCTTCTCATTAAAATTATTCGATAAACATGTTCAATCAACAACAATTATGAACGATCTTGATCTTATTCGCCCTATGATGTCACCCCAAAATTAATCAAAGTTCTATATGAACATGATTCCATGAGGTGCAGTTCGTAAATTAATGCATATTATTCTCATAGAAAGGCTGTAGGCGTTAGTATTGTTTTGTCTAACACCGACTTCAATACTGGCACCTCGAAAGTGTAGCATTGTTCGATTCGCAGTGCTGTCTATTTGAGAATTTCTATTACGACACTTCTAAAGAGTATTTTATGATTTCAAAATGCATTTTTTTACTTTGATTAAAAGCATCATGTCGTCATCTATTTCAAAATCAGATACGACGTAGAAAGAAACAGAATGTAAAGAGCTATGCTTATACTTGCGGAAGTAATTCTTTCTTTCCACTTGAAGTTTTTCTGTTATATATACACAGAATCAGCATATTATTAGTGTCTTAATAAAATAATATAGAGCATCAAAATGAATCATTCTGTTTTCAGCTCCCGACCCTTAATAATTATATAAACAGATTAATTTCAAACATCAAGAGTGCATATAGAAAAACTAACGACAGAAATAACAGTATATTGAAGCATACGCAAATGAATCTGTTTGTAAGGAAGATATTATTCGGTTGATGGAAAACCACTCGAATAAGAGCTCTCTTCCTAAATAATCCACAGTAATAATTACATCAAATTGATATTATCGAACTCTTCATTAAGATTTTTCAGATAGTTATTGAATAAGTATACTTTACGGCAGGTATCTCTCACATGAGCAGCGGTGAACGAGCTTGGCAATTACAACTGCGACAGGTAAAGAAAGTCAAATCTTTTAAGAAAAAAAACTTTTATTTATGAGAACTTTGTATCACGATCGATTGATACATATTTCTTGACTATTTAAATGTAAAAGTAAGTACAGTCAAAATATTCATCATAACAGTAAACATATAATGGCACTCTTCTCAAGCCTTATAAAACAGCTTAAGGAAGATTTCTATAGAAAATATTAAAAACTGTGTTAGTCTCTATTTATTACTCGCTATTATTGATAATTAAATCAGCCTGAATAGCATCACGTAAAATATATATGTTTATCTGAACAGGAAAAGTGTAATTCATCTTCACAGTCCAAGTTGTCGCAATCAAATATGCGAATCAAGCATGCTATAGAAGGATTAGATAATGTTGATCAACAATTCCAGTTATTAGTGGAACTGATTGTACCTGCGAATAAAGGCAGAAGTAATTTATTGCGTCTGGCAATCAATGCAGAAACTCATCATTTACTTACCTCTTCTGTTTTTCGCTATTACGAAATATACAATGATTTATATTTGACGATAACTTCAGGACCAAGTGACAATTTAGTTGGTTATCTTGTCGAATTGGATCGACTTAATGATGCTATTATATATTTTAAACGTAGAGAAATCGTCGATGAGCAAAAACGTTTAATGGAATTGTATGATATTGGACGAGAGAAACTCATTGAAGCAAGTAACGAAGTTATTATGCGGCACACTAATCCAATATCACCTAATAAATTACTTGAGTTATGCCGATCAAAGACATCAATATCAATTGATATTGATAATATGGAAAGTTAGAGAATTGTCAGAACATTTTTTCTAGAAAACTATACTTCTTTACAGTGTCCGAACTAGGCGTATTTCGCATTATCTTCGATTGGTTTCGAGAACATGGATTTCAACAAGGTCTTCTTAGTACTTATGCTTCAAAGAGAGGCACTATGAGCTGCAGTTCTCTTCAGTCGTATGTATTTTTATTTTCTATAGTCACATATTTTGCTTGTTTAAGACTTGCTGAACACTTACAGCGAAATTGTGCGCGTCGTGAATCGATCTGTAGGACCAACATTCGTCCTTATACATCCTCACGTCGAGCTTCATACTGTCCGGAAATATTAAGAGAAAAAATAAAAATAAAAATCGAGTAAATTGATCGTTTTTTTTCTAGTATTTTATACAGTTTCTTTTTTTGTTTTATTTTCATTAGTGGGATAGGACGTCGTTTCTCGCGTTCATCTATGTTTGATGGTAGAAGTTTTGCATCGAAAAATACATTGTTACCACCGGAAATCGAACCATACAATAATCATAATGTCGATAATTTATCGTCGTCAATACGTTTTAGCAGTGATCGAGAAACGAACAATTATAAGTTTTTACTCGATGCATTTGTTATACTTTTGTCACGCGATTTAGATTTACTTTTTTATACCTTCTCAAATGAATTTAAATCCTTAGTCTTCATCAAACTAATCGAATTACCATTGGCATATATGCATGAAGAAGCGCAAGAATTATGTAAAGCTATCGAACAGTTACCGTGTAAAATAGGCACCGGAAAATTTGCTTTTTATGGTCTTCTGTCAATTATTCGATGGTTTCATAAATCTAAAGATATTTTTACCAAACTCTATGAAGTAAGATGAACTATTGAGTAAATAGTATCGATATTTCTGAATTAAATATTATTGACTAAAAGTTAACTATATTTTGATTTATATATAAAGAAAATGAGCATGAGTGACCTTCTTGAACATTAACATAGGCCTTTTTTTGTGTTTTAGGAAAATGATCTAGTACCTGAATGTGAATTCGGCAGCACACTCTCAGCTGTATTTGAACATTCAGTAAGCAATTTCGTTCGGCATTTTCTTTTTCTAATATACTTATAGATCAACGAATGTCTACGCATGATATTGGAAGAAGTTCAAAAGGACTCATCGAATCTAAGTGAAGATGGCTGTGTACATCCATTAACGATGCATGTATTAAGTTTTATGGAAGGTCTTCGCGACTATGAAGATGTGATCACTACCATCAGATTCAGTGGTACCGGAGAAAAGAAAAGTAAAATATATTTGTCTATATTCTTTATACACCGGTTTTGTGTGTTAATTCATGCCAAATGTTGTTTCATTGTTTGTAGAGAAATGTCTTTTTGATTTGAGAAATTACTTTAGTAAGTGTCTGTACTTGTTCTGTTTCAATTGTCTCTTTCCACAAATTTTAGCTGATTTAATTCAAACACTTCGCGCAAGTATTTCGACGAAGATAGAAATGTTTGTTCTACAAAACGATAGAACTAAACGAGCAATATGTCTTCTTAACAATACCAATTATCTTCTCAAACAACTACAAAGGTAGTGTGATAATCTACTTTATCTAATTCTCTCTTTATTTTGTCAATTATCTAGTTCATCTTTATTGATGATGATTAACAAAATGGAGCCAAGTCTCAAATTACAATTAGAAGACAACTTGCAAAATAGTGTTAAAGCGTATTTGAAATGGTATACTATACTAAGTATTTTTCTAAACAAACATATTCTAATTAATAAAGTAAACAGAATTCGAGAAATTTTTATTGTCATGTTCACGGGCAAACTATGTGGATTAGACTTTAAGTTTTTATGTCAACTGAAAATTATATCAAACGTCTATAAAAGCAAACAAAATCTTCTAACTTAGCAATAAAAAAAGAATTCATCTTTGTACATTGTAAAACCTTTTCATAACTGTATAGTTGTTAAAGACCAGAAATATATAAAAATAAAATATCTCATCATGTTCTTTTCTATTCAGTTATACACCTCTCATCATGGCTATGCGAAAAATGTTAAACTATGACAATATGAATCATTTCTCAAGAAGTCAAGTTAGTTAATTTTGATCTATATTCTCTTCACTGATATTTTTTCTGTTTATCAGTTAAGTGAATATGATCGACATAAATTGAAAGAAAGTTTTTCAACGGTAAATGCAGCTATCGATAATCTTCGTCAAGAAAATCAAGAATATATCGTTGATGATGTTCAATTACGTGATCATTTGCGAACTGAAAGCAAGAAATTAGCTTTGAACATGTTCAAAACATATTATACAAAATTTGCACACAAAAATTTTTCACAAAAACCCGAAAAATATATACGATACAGTCCTGTAATGTTCGAATCTATTATTGACAGTTTTTTCGAACACTAATTATGACTTTAAACATATGAATCTTTTTAAACAAAAATATTTTAATTGACATACAAATATATTCTCGATCTTGTTTTTTTCTTACAGAGTTTTTTTGAAGCAAATAAAAAAACGTGCTAGAGAAACAGCTACTGTTTTTCAAAAAAAAGAATTCAATTCATTTCTTTTTGCCTTGTAACATTGTCAGTGTTTTGAGTGGTTCGTCATTTCCATCGATTAGAAACACAACAAACATAATTAATTCCAATAAAATCCTTTAAATTTCTGTAAAAGAGAATGAACAATTGACACAGAAGACAGACAATAGTTGAAAAATTATTAATTTACTTTATTACTCAAAAATGATTTACTAATACGATGAATGTTAGAAAATATATTTGAACTAATTATTGATTGAAAGACAAATTAATTATTATCAGGCACTTTATTGTGCATACATCGGATATTTCATCGTCAACAATTACAAAAATTTTAATCAGTAAAAATTTAAAATGAATATATATATATTTCTGCCTCACTATACGTGTAAATTTTATGGATGATACATTATTATTATTAATCGACGAAATAAGTAAATCATATTGCGATTTAAGATTGTTTTTACATTTCTCTAAACAGTATAATTCGATCAACTAACACTCAAAATTTTTGCGAAGCGAAAAAAAATCAAATAAAACCACCTTCATTGAGTAACGTCATCTACTTAAAAAGAAATATTTTTTTTCTTTCACGCTTCTCTGTAATTGGAGGTGTTATATGTTTATCTTTTGTTTGCTGCAATAAAATATCTTGTACTTTCATCATCAGATTGTATTTCTCCGTCTTGGGTACGGAGAAATATGATTGTAATACGGATTATAGAACGATTTCGTTTATATCATGTTGGACACTTCAGTTTGTATTGAATAATTAATTATCTTATTCACATTTTTGTACTGATACTCTCCTGACTGTAAAAATTATGGTTTCGTGTTGAAAAGTAACGAACAGTAGAGAAGGAACCAATCTGAAATAGCCTATGAGAAGACAATCAGATTATCGGTACTCATTAGAGACACAATCCGCTTAGAAAATAACTCAGATTGTTTTTGCTGTTTTATCATCTATGAATCATTAATTTTAGATAACAAGTTTCAAATTTCAATAAATTGAAGCAAGCAGAATTTAAACAACCTATATAACAGAACAAAATGACTACATTTATTACTAAATTTCTTGATGGTCATATTGTTGCTCATATAAATCAGTTTGACTATCTCATAGACACTGGTTCTCCAGTCTCATTCGGACATAGAACAACTCTTGTTATTAACGGAAAAAATTTCTCGATAAACAGTACTGGTCCAGGTGGATTTACAGTCAATTCAATTAACGAACTCAGTGGGCTTCACGTAGATGGACTAATTGGTATGGATATTCTTATTCATTTCGATATTCGATTTACTCGAAATCAAATCACTTTTTCTGATACACCTATCTTGCATGTAGATACAGCAATCAAGTTGCCTATTGTAGAAACTGTGATGGGCATACCGATTATAACTTTGAATATTGGACAGGAAGATCGAAAAATTTTTTTCGATACTGGTGCAAAGCTTTCTTATTTGAGCGAAGATCTTCTTGTCGGTACCCCAATTGGTGAGATGGACGATTTTCATCCCACAATAGGCGCTTATAAAACAAATGCTTATAAAATCGATGTTGTTATCAATGACAAAGTAGAAACATTGACATTTGGCTCATTACCATCGTTACTTCGAATGTTATTAGTGATGGGTCAAACCAAAGGAATCATTGGAACTGAGTTATTAAATAAATATTCTATAATTCTTTCTAATTCGGGTAAAATTTTGGTGTTGGAACCATCCAATGAAGAGGAATCATTCGGTCAGCATCAGAATTCAAACAATGGAGACTCTCAATCTAAAAAGAAATTGATTTTAGTACGAGAACTCAGTCTAGACTAATTTTGATGTTTTTCAATGGAAAATCTTAATTTGAGTATTACGTACATCAGACTGAAGTTTTTGTTTTTACTTTCATACTAATTTTTATCTTGAAATGCATCTCGCCATAAAATTTTATGAATGAATTATAAAGGGAATTAATATAACGAACGATTCAGAATAACAATAAACTTTTCAGGATTTATCCATCTTTCGTGTCAACTTATAAGGTATGCCAAATAATAGGATACTCCAGAGATGGGCAAGTCAGCTATTTTTTCACACAAGTCAAGTCAAGTCATTTCTGGAAGAGAATCAAGTCACGTCAAGTCAAGTCATTGATAAAAATAAAAAGGGTTGAAGTCAAGTCAAGTCAAGTCATTGCTTTGAAGTCCAATATCTCAAGTCAAGTCAAGTCAAATCTGCGATCTACCCAAGTCAAGTCAAGTCAAGTCTCAAGTCATTGACTTGTATTTTTTTAANTACGTACTCGTCGATGAAGTTCCCATTCAGGTATGGGAATGTCTAATTTGGCCATCAAACCTCGCATAAGATCATCGCACAGAGCATGAATATTTAATTGAGCCAATGAAGCCATTGGAGTCAATTGTAAATTACCGATAGCCAATTTACCACCACGTTCAGCGACTGTTTGTGGAACATAGGCTGCTGGTGGAATGCGCAATGACGAGCCTAATACGAGACAAACATCGGCTTTTTCTGCATGCTCAAAACTTGCGTCGAATTCTTGTGGTGGAACACTTTCGCCAAAGTTAATAATCGAATCGTACAGTGCCGAACTGCATTTCATACATTTGCGCGGTGTCTGATGATCATGATCTTTGATGGCTGTTCGTGTTTGATAATCGCGCCAATATTTCGTGTGACAGTTTTTGCATATTTCCAAGTTCGAATTACCATGGACTTCAGATAACAACGACGATGACAAGCCGGATCGTAGATGAAGACCGTCAATGTTTTGTGAAACAACAAAATGAAGAAGTTTCCGACGAGCCAATTCGACAAGTGCCATATGTGTGACTGATGGAATTGCTTTTACGAAACTGACTGTACGAGCTGTTGGAGAGCGCTTAGCATTCGGATGATCATGCAGTTCCCACACACCTGGTCCGGTTGGTAGAATCGTATTTATACCGGATCGAAAGTCAGGAATACTATATGAAAATTATATCCGATATTAGCAAAAAAAAGGAAAGATAATTTATCCTTAACTTCAACAATTAGGAAAAAAACAATTCACAATCAAAACATGGATGAGATCTTGATTTAGATACTCATTCCAGAGAGGATCAAAATCTTCGCTTTTTCTCAGCAAAGCCTAAGAATTTTTTCCTATTTTTCGATATTTAACTCCCTTCTTCTGAGAGTTCAGTCGTACTTGCCCTGTAGATGTTGACACACCTGCACCTATAACAATCACAATTTACAAAATTACTTTTGTTATTCGAAAACTTTTCTTCGGCTTACCAGTAAACACGATAAAATGCTTTGCATTACGAATCCACTCGGCCAATTGGTCAAGTTTCTGGTCGAAAACGTCAGGTGGATCGATAATTTCTTTCTTTGTAGGATCTTCATCTGCTATGCCGTATGCCATATCCTAATAATTTGATTATACTGTTTTCCACTGACTAGAATCTGAATTTTTTTCGATTTATATAAACTGCGTGTATATGTCGACGTAGAGTTGGCAACAATTCAAACAAGAGTGTTGGCAGAACAATGACGCCATGTCGTCATTTGCTATGTGCGTCACTGACGTGAGATTGAAAGTAAAAATAACAGAACCAGACAAATTTCACAAAAGAAACGCATTTCGTTTTTTTCTTTTCAGAATTGATTTGAAAAACATGACCTTATTCCCTTTAACAATACTCTTAGGTTGTGTTCAAAAGCGCATGGTGTGGGGTACATATTGATACTAAATTTGAAACATCCGAGTAACATCTTAATGGATGTGTATGAACTCCGGTGGATGTGAATGGGGTGTGGGTGTGGGTGTTCTTTTAACGTGGATCAACTCACATCCACACCCACATCCACACCCACACCCACACCCACACCCACACCCACACCCGCGTCTATGAGAGGCATATCTTGAGACCTTGCATGACTATCCCGATGCACTACAATATTTCTCTAAAAGCTTGGCGGTCTATCGAGCAAACTACGGAAATCAACAAAAATATGTCATTGAAATAAAAGAAAAACTCGAAAAAGTGCGTAAGAAACAAATAGTAGAAATATAATACCAGGGTTTGGGGTGTGGATACCATTAAACAGAAGACTTTCATGCACACTTCATTATTGAATAAATAAAATCAATATTAATGATGAGTTTAAAGGTTAATGTTCCTCATTCTAGAGACATCTATATATCTCAAAATATAGTTGATTAAAGTATCTGTGCAATAGAAAAGAAATAGACGTGGACACATACATATCTAAGGTCAACAATTAAAATGCTGTAAGTTGTTTTGTTATCCTTTTAAAAAGTGCTACCGACAAATATTCATTAAGAATGTAAAAAAATAAAAGCATTTACTTTTATAAACCAATAATGAATAAACAAAAAATCGTCTTGCTTAAACCAGGCTTTAGTGATTTTTCAATTGAACATAATATTCTATCATCGACTCCATACGAACTGGATGTTGTCCGTGCTTCTGATGACATTGATCTCCTCTCGTATCTTTCCAATCCATTGATAGTTGCTATTATTACTATTCGTACATTAATTACAGCTGAAATGATCGAACGTATCTCACCTTTTTGTCGTGTGATCACTCGATTGGGAGTTGGCTTCGATAGCATAGATATCAAAGCATGTCTTCAACGAAATATCATGATCTGCTATGTACCTGATTATGGTACAAACGAGGTTGCTGATCATGCTGTTGCTCTTCTTTTTGCTGCTCATCGTCGTTTGTCAATGTTTCATCGATCAATAGTTGAGCAAAACGTTTGGAATCATGAGATAACTGGTAAAGATTTGCATAGTTTAAATACGCTTAACTTAGGTATTATTGGTATGGGTCGTATTGGATCATGTTTTGCTACTAAAATGCGTCCATTTGTTAAGCAAATATTTTCTTATGATGTATTAGTACCATCAACCTGCAGTTCCATCGATGAAATCTTTGATCAATGCGACATTATTTCACTTCATATTCCACTTACACCAGCTAATCATCATATAATTTCATCGAATGCAATTAGTCGTATGAAAAGGCGACCAATTTTTATTAATACAAGTCGTGGAGGTCTTGTTGATACTCAAGCACTGATAAAAGCCTTAAAAGATGGACAAATATCTTATGCTGCTCTTGATGTGCTTGAAGATGAACCACATATTGATTCTGAATTAATCAAACTTGATCGTATTCAATTAACACCACATGCGGCTTGGTATACTCAAGAATCAGCAACTACTTTACGTACAAAAGCAATTCAAGATATCTTACGCATTATGAATGGAGAAGAACCATTGTATCCTGTGCCTTTTGAACCCTAATCTTCGTGCATTCCAATGTCTTTGTAGAATAATGCGAAAAATAATTAACAAATAGATTAATAGTTTTATTTGATCCCTATTTGTTATTGAATAAGGTACGCTTTCATAAGAGAACGTTTCAAATGGTAAAATCGTTTGCTGCTTTCTCATTTTTTTTACAGCGGTCATCTCTACCAATTCACATATCATATATTTGTTCACGTTACCAGTCGCATGCCGACATCAGATTGCTGACTAAAACACAACATTTAGTCTAGTGCAGTAGAGTGGCTGTCAGATTATATCCCACCGTTTGAGGGTGTGGGTGTGAGTTCGGATCTTCTTGAAATTTATAATATTAACGAAACCTACACTCACACCATCATTCCTGAAATAGGTATGCTGCATATAATATCGTTCAAAGTGTGTAAAGAGCACAAAATGTAAAAGTCTTCGATCAGAAAAAGCGCAGGATTAAAACAAAGACAACTATACTTCACAGCAGAAGTCAGTATTAGAAAAACACCGGTATGTTTTTTTCTACAATCTACGATCACATTCGAATCATGATGAAGAAAGTTTATAGGCATATCGATATTGCTAAGCAAACAAATGTGATAAAAACTTAAATGATTTCATTTATGCATTTTAACATACATTACAATGAAATAGGTTTCCACCCTTAATAGACAATACAACTTTGATTTTATTTTCGATTATAACTTTACTTTTAATACACTTCTTTGTTTTAAATTCTATTTGTTGCTCAAGGAGAATGTCTGTCATTAGATACAGCACATTTCATTCATCAAAGTATGACTGAAATAAACGAACAAAAGGAAATTTAGCTACAGCCCACCGTATATTTATGATGTGAAACATTTTCTTTTTCATATGAGGGCAAACGAAGATAACCATATTTTTTTTCCTTGAATAATCTTAAATCTCAATAACTTCGACAATTGTAAAAGATCCATTTCGAACAAAGCATGAAATTTTTTTATCATCTGTATTGCCCGTATGTTGGTGTCTTTCTATTATGACAAACATTTGATTGATGTCGACTACGCAGTATAATGTGCTTTTTTACCTGTTTTTCCTCTACCCTGCATTAGTCGATTGTAAGACAAAGATCAAAACAGGCTAGGGTGTGGAATAATGCTACACCCTCACCAGGCATCAACACATACATCGATATCCGCAACTACACTCACACCCTTACCTACACCCAGACCAAAAACAACACCCGCACTCACATCCTCACCCACCCACACCCACACCCACACCCTCCAGTCTCGTGCTATACGTTTTTCTTTCTTTGTTAGAAAGAGCATGCCAGAATGCAGGGGATCACCGAGTCGGTTTTTTTAATTCTTACTTTTTTAGCGGAGAAAGACGATCACAAGTTCAAAAAATCATAGATCGAGAAAAAACGAAAAATCTTTTTCGTTTTTTTAAAAAAAGTCTGTTTTTTCAAGCAGCTGATTACGAAAATCATCAAAATTTTTAGCCAAAAAGGAGGTTTTGGATAAAAAACCATATAATTTCTGAAAGATCCGAAGATGGGCTATCTTCCTACGTATTTATCTCAATTTTCAAATTTCTGACGAAAATTGACCTTTTTTTAGGGAGGGGAGGGGGGCACTAAAGAACATGGCACGGTGTACTTTTTAATGTTTTCCATACACTCTACCATCCGTGTAGTTTGGTACGGATCTCTACTAGCTTCCAGCATGTATTGAAAATATTTCCCCAAGATTCTCAAAAATCAGAAGATTTGAAAATTCTCAAGGTGGGACATATGTGTCCCACCGGGGCTCAAAGGGTTAAAACACAGTTGCATTATTTTGCGAGCAACACATTATTCGTTGAGAGTGATCAGAAAACTTGTAGTTTTAACACGTGTGGAGGGTTGAGTAGAGCTGAATTTTATTACTTTCGAAAGAGACCAACTGCTTTAAAATCGTTACGTTTAAGCCTTGTATAAAAATCAACCCCTAAAAACGATATCTCGCTCATAGTTCAACTAAAACAAAGACTGATAATTTTGTGCTATAATTGGAGACGAAATTTTCTTGACAATGAGTCCTGTTTTGTGCTTCCGAACTACTGTTGCGTTCAAACTATACAACACAAAGTCAAGAAAATCAGGAACAATGAGCAAAATCAGGGCGAATCAGGACGCTTTTAAAAAATCAGGAAAGTAGTGTCGCTGCAACCCCTGCAACGATATCATTAAGCATAATACTTGATGCTTGCTAATTAAATTTCATAGCTATTTGTTTTGTAAATATTTTTGATAGAAGAAAATAAACTTCATTGGAACGATTAGTAAATTTCCAGTTATGCACTTTTATCTGGTGATCAATTGGAAACTGATGCATAAATTTTCTCTGTAACAATTCAATCAAAAATCGATGTACTTAAAATGCAAACAAAATCACATCACAATGCTTATTCTAACCTTTTTATAATTAACTTTTTCTTTTTTATTTAAGAAGATTTGTTTTAATTTGCTTAAAAATCCATGTTAGAAAGTATAGCTGTTTGCACTTCTTATTAACAATCTATTTTTCGACTTTTCAAAAATATCAATTCTTCTCTAGTCTAGATCTTGCAAATCTTTTTTCTAAGATCTGTTTCAACAGTGTATTTTCAGAGATGATCTATATATGTATGATTAAGAGATTAACGATAATTAGTGACTATTAATAATCTTTGTCTCATGAAAATATTATTTTAATTAAGGGTGTGGGTGTGGGTGTGTATCTTCTACTTACATATACAGCAGAACCCACACTCACCCACGCCCACACCCACACCCACGCCCACACCCACGCCCACACCCACCTTCAAGTCCCGCGAGGAGCACATCTTTTTCGTTCTGTTATTGTATCATCTCCTCCTTTCGACCGTTTATCTAACTCACAGCCATACCCACCCCGACACCCACATCCATTCAAAAAAACAAGTTTTTTTAAAACGTGTTGAGGATATATTTAATGTGTACTTCATAACTTTTATGGGTTACTTAAAACGGGATAAAATTGTGGATTTGTAGGTTTCTTATATTGCTTTTCATTTGCAGTCATAAATTGCAGCGGTGAACATTTTCGCGAGTATGGCCATGCTCGATTTTCTCATGAACCGTCTCCTAATATTCTGATTTTTCGTTGTGTCTAGTGAATAATATAATTCGAGAGTGGTGTATTTCTTTCTTACGTCAGTTTCATGAATGAGTTTAATGTAAACGAAACATTTAATCGGCTCTTTTTTGTTTTTGTTTTCTCATGATTTAAATTCGAACATGTTTTGTTGCTAATGGAATATTAATTCAGGTGCTTTGTTTGTTCTTCGAAAAATATACTTTAAAATAAAGTAAAATTAATATGTTTTTCATTTTTTTCCTACCACTTTCAACGACTATTGCAATCATTAAAAGACAAACAGAAGAAACTGTTAATAATACAGTGTTGTTGTTCATATTATTATTGTGCCAATAGTGGAACAAGTTACATTTTTTTCATATTCTTGGATGTTCGTTACTTCACGACAAAAAAAACAATATTTGCTCCATGTACTCACCATCCAATGAAAGAATCGACTTCCAAAAGAATTTTTTTTACTTTGAAGAGATGTGGATTGCAATCATACATAAGAAAAAAATATTTTGATGAAACATAATTCGAAAGTTGTATATATGAAGTCTCTTTTTTCCATCAGCAATACTCAATTTCATTAAAGAGATAAGTAATTTTTCCATAGTCTTTGCTCAGTGAAAACCAGGAATAAGTACATGACAGAACATGTGACTGTCCTATGACCTGTTTTCTTCTACAGTAAACTAAACGTAATGACAGAAGAGGAAGTTAGTTAGCAGTTGACTAAAAGTTCATAGGAAATTTATTCAACTAAACTGAATAAGACTTCTTTGACAGATTCATTTATAGTTTAAGAAAAATCACCAACATTTCGTTACTCATTTAGTATCGTTTGCTGAATTCACTTGATGTCAGCTACTTCCACAAGTGATATAGGAGGCTTTTGCCGAATATAACTAATTAGTTTGACAAGAATAACAAACTCCTCTTCATCTAGGATAGTTCGAGAAGATCTACTTTGCATTTCTTTTAAGTGATTTATTATTTAAGAAGGTATTCATGTTATTGGACAGCAAAATGAAATGAGTAGAATCAAAGCCATCTGACTATTCTATTCGATGTCTGCTTCGCAGCATAGAAAATGAAAATAAAAAATCTGTCTGATATATTCTGCTCGACGAGTAGGACAGAACAGAAAAAAGTTGTCTTGCACTCATCTGTAGTGAAAACGAAGAAAAATTTTCAGCAAATGATCCATATTTGATAAGACTAAAACCACTTACGAAAGAGTAATAGAAAGAACTGTTCAGTTGTTAAGGGTGTGGGTGTGGGTGTGGGTGTTGATGTAGTTCTCCTGTTTCACCTAACTAATGCACACACCTACACCCACATCCAGCTTCGGGTGATGTAATTGTTTCGTTAATGAATGCACTCGAATAAGGTAATTTAGTTCTCAAGTGGAGAACATGTGAAGCACTGGGTAAGATGAGCAGAAAGGCAGCAACCAGCCAGGTTATTGATGGACTCATTACCGCATTTGAGGATGATGATAGCGATGTCAGAGAGTGTGGGGTGAGAGTGTGGATGCCGGTGTCTGGGCGTTAGAGTTCGGCGGTTCCAAAAATTCTCCGGAACCGGCACGGGAACTGCGGTTCCGATCTGATTCTGGGTAGTAAAAATGAGAAAAAAGCAGATTCGGTTCAGCTTCCAAGAAGTTATCTGGAGCCGGATGGAACCGTTAAATTATCAAAAGTATAAGAAAACTTTTGGAAAAATTTGGGTTGCTGCATTCCTGGCATTAAAAGTACTAGATATTTATTGAAAAACTATTTTGTTCAAAACACGCAATGTAGCAACGACTCTAGCTACTCTGAAAATCAGTTCCGGTTCCAAAAAATTGTAAAAAGCCGGCTCCGGTTC